GGGGGGGGGGGGTCATCTGACATCTCTCAGACTGTGATGGGGAGACATGCCTGTGTGTGTATGATGTGTCCGCACCCTTCCAGCCCACCTCCCCCGGGTGATCGATCGATCCGTGCTCCCAGACCAAGCCCCCCCTCCCCGAGGCTGCTCCCCACCAAAGTCAGCCAGGAAGAAAGCGGATACACCCAGCCTCGATCCGTAAGCGAAGGCGCTTCCTCCCGGACTAGAGCCCTGTCCGATATGGATCTATTCTGTATTGCGCACCTGGAATCATTCGACTGGAGCGATCCGGTTCGTGCACAGGGAATTTCGTTTCGGAAAACTTTTTTCCTGGCATAGTAGAGAGTTAAAGGGAACTCCTTTGTCGCGTGAAAATGGCAACACCGATATACACTGTCACACGGATACACACCGTCACACGGATTCACACCGTCACACGGATACAAACCGTCACACGGATACACACCGTCACACGGATACACAATGTCACATAGATACACACTGTTGCACGGATACACACTGTCACATAGATACACACTGTTGCACGGATACACACTGTCACATAGATACACATTGTCACTTGCAAGCGCAAGGACTTCAGGCGTCTCCGGAGTCACGGCATTTCAACGCGGGCGCATTCTGAAGATGTTTTACATGTTTGTCTGGATGCCACTCTCAATGTTTTAATGCAATCAGAGTTCATCAACTTGTGGCAGAAGGCAGCAAACTCCTGGAAGGAGACAGGAGCTGGAGGTGTAATAATGGGGGGGAGCTCAGTGGGGCGCCAGTAGCGAGGTTGCAGCCCCCATGCAGCTCTGGGGACACCGTCAGCCGTTCGTCCCATACGACGAGGCACCCAAGCGACAGTGCATGTGACAGGCGGGGGCCTTACCTTGCACGAGTTCCCCCCAAGCCCCGGTGGATTTGGCCATCTCCTCGGTGCCCCCCTGACGCTGACACCTGAAGCCCGCTCTTCCTGGGCGGCTTGCTGGCCCGGTGCTCCCCTGCCGGAGAATGGGATTCACTCGGTAAAGCCTCGCACAGAGAACAGAGGATCGCGCAGGAGTGGGGGTTTGTACTGCTGGATCGTACCATTCAGTGAACCCCCCCCTCACCCACTGCCGCAGCTTGGTCTCTTCCTGCTATGTCTCACCGATGAAGCTGCCCCCCCCCCCCACACACACACACACACACATACACACAAAACCTCTCATTAAAATGCAAGAACTCCAAGGGTGGAGGATAGAGAGGTGGGGGAAAATCGTGAATGTATTTAGCGAGGCTCTCGCTCTCCGTGCAGCAGCTCTCTGCGCTGCTGTGATGCTCTGACTGCCGACCGAAGCAGGGGTGTAAGTGGAAAGGAGAGCGGCCCTCCTGCTGGCCCAGAGGGGGGCGCTGGTGGGGTCAGAAACGCGAGAGCAGCATCACAAGACCCGCCTTTGCCAGGTCAGGTCAGCGAGGCCGCAGAGCAGAGAGGGGGCCCGGCGGAGCGTGGGCGGTGAGGTCGGCCGGTGCGTGCGTGCGTGCGGGCGGGCGGGCGGGCGATGCTCGCTCGCTGATTGATTACACAGGTGATGAGTCACGGAAATGTACGCCATGGAGGTGCGGGTGTAAAGCCATTTGTCACTCTTTGTCATGTGCATTAAGAGTGGCACATCGCACGTCCCGCCCACATGTTTGTTTGTTTTTTCTTTAACTCTGCCGTGCCCCCGTTTCTCGACAGCGACCTGCGTAACCCGGGACGCTAAACTGGGCCTCGAGCCTTCAGATGCACCGGCCACACAAAGCAGTCCTGCCAGACTTCCCCTTCTGCCGTTTTCTGGCAGCCATTTTGCTGCTTCATCCCTGAAACAAACACATCTCTCCCCGTTTGCTCTTGGATACGGCGTCTCAAACCCCGAACGACCCAGGCCAAAGAAGGAAAACCACACGACCAGCACCTACATTCTCAGCATAGATACTGATGAGACTCCCTCCTTTTCTGTCTTCATCACTCCATATGCTCATGGTACAGAGATGGTGTCCATATCTCAGTTTAATAATTATTGCTAGTTTTTAAACAGCAAACCACCTTCCTGAGAGACATCATACGTTTTCCACAGCAGTAAAGTGAAAACTAAAGACGCCATTAGTTTAAGAAATTAGTCTGTCATGAAGAGAGTTTCTTACATGCAGGATAATTTCTCACCACGTCATTTAGGGAGACGATGCACAGCTGGGACAGAAATGGCGTTAACGCAGTTTTATACGATGCTTCGCGTAAAAATAACGTTTTTTTTAAGGATCATGGACTTTCTCAAATTATACAAATAAATAAACAGATTTAAATTTAAAAAGTAAAACTGGTTCTAATTTCCTGTACAAACAGTAATTTAGGATTCCAGAAAAATCGATGTCCCTTAGAACATCGTGAACATTTTAATGTTTTCGCCATGGGATTTAAAGAATATCTAGCCTATTAATGCGATCAATATGAGTCCAGATCTCACGCCATAGCCATTGCACACACAGGAAACCACGCTGCAGTTTGCCTCAATTCTTTAAATGCGTTACTGGGGTTTTTCCAAAGGCAATGTCATATTTTCAAAATTACTTTTATGTATTTTTTTATTTCAGTAGTCCATATTCTTCAAATTTAAAAAACATAGGAAATTAATAACACAAAGAACATAAAATGTATGTGTTTTACCTGAAAATGCAATGTTTTTTTTTTTAAATACTACTACTACTACTACTACTAATAATAATAATAATAATAATATGCCTAATACTTTCTAAAAATGACTATATTTCATCGAGAAAGTACACATAACGCCATGGAGTTACCTGACGAGATACAAGCCGAGTTTCCTACGTGCAGTTAGGGGTGGGAAGCCGGTGTTACCCCTCTGCCCCGGTTAGCCGCAGACACGATAGATTTCACTACGAAACACCGTCAGAATTAAACGCAGCCTGATCCTTATTGTTTTTAAAACGTATTTACACAGGCTGTCCTTACATATGTTATAACCAAAAAGCACGTTTCAGTTTTATGTTAACTGTAAAAAATACCTGAAATATTTTTATGTACATAATTATGCCTACACAGCAATAATTATAATTAATAAAATTATTAGGCTACATTTATTGCGATCAGGGTAAGTGGTAGGCAGATGGACGCACGCACGGACGGACGGGCACTTTAAATGTCTCTAGTGGGAGGTACTGATTTAGTGTCTGAGATAACATTGATGCATTATTGCGTGTGTTATATATTTGTACATTATAGTTAGGATGGGGAGGCGTCACTACCAGTAAAACGGAAGCAATCTGAAAAGCTCTGCAGGGTTACAGTCATGTTTGTCAGGTCAAACTAGTTTGACAAATTAAAAGTTACCGCTGTGTCAGTCTTCTCAAACTATCCTGACAAATTAAAAGCTTTTCTTGTACTATGTGTTCTCACGTCGCACGGTTATATATATAGATTAAAGCCTGAGATATCATTTGATATACAATTCAAAATGTCTATAATTTTATTTATTTATTAGAAATGTAACACCTCTAATGAAAATGATAATGGCGGTTATGCTCATATATTCAGTGAAATATTTTACCATTTTGCTTAAACCTGCGATATCACCTTGAAGTAGATGTAAAACGCCGTTGTCCCGTTTTGTGCTGGAATGTATTGTACGCTTACACTGAATTTGTCAGCATTTGACATTTGCACATTGTTTTAGAATTATAGTTTCACAGTAACCTCAGTCCTGACTTGAATATTAAAATAAACGATAGTGATGTGTTACAATAAACAATTTTTAATTAAAAAAAAAAAATTAGAACAGAAAATCAGAGAATTGTTTTCGTAACTGAGTTATAACACGATGCGTGGGAATTAATCGTATTTTTCTCTGTGCCCTGTATCTGAAGACCATGTGAGTGTTACGGGATCCTCTTCCCATGAAAGCTCTGCGTTTTGCCTTAAGATTGCGGACAGGGACTGGTCTCAGAGCCCCTCTCAGCCGATCTCCGTACTGGTTTCATCGTTCGACCCCCGCAACTCAGCCTTGGTTTTATGCATTTCCATCAGTATCTAATATTAACAGGCGTTGTTGACGCGGGTCTTTTCGTGCCACTTTTAAAATCAAAATGCAAGGGAAATATATTAAAACACCCCCCCCCCCATCCCGTTAAGAACCATTTCTTCTGCCGTCAGGATCAACCACTTTTCCCGAGCATAATCACTGAAACGCATAGTGCCCCCGCTGCCAACCGGAAAGTTGTAATGCTTTTGAGAAACGGCCAGAAAGCGCCTGTCACTTCGTCACTGTCGCCTAGCACAGAAAAAAAAATTCTGTTTTAAACACGGTTTAAGAATCCTAATATTTCAACAGCCTCCTAAGTTGATAAAAAAGAAAAACAGAACAGACAATGGAGTATTGGGAAATTATGTCCTCTATCTGGAAACATCATGGGTGTTTGATTGACCTGATTCAACAATTAAGAACTATGAGTGTCCCTTTACCCATGCAGAACTTAAATGAGCAGCACAAACCTAATACCAAGGGATTAAAGAAAAGATCTCACTAAAGATAAGTGCAGCTCCATTATCTGGGCTGCTGTTTCCTTCACACCCAACTAATGTTTGTATGTCTGTGACCACTCTGTGGAGTCAAGGTGACTTTTGATGACATCACACAGGCACCTAAGCAGGGTGACTACTGGCACCAGGTCCAGCACCAACCCCCCCAGGTCCCAAAGCACCATTGAAGAGCTGCATGTCTTAACCTTGCAGTGTTCAAGCAATCTGAATACATTAAAATTTCAACAGGAGGCCAGAGGAGACCAGGAGAGGCTGGGGGTGGTGCTCAGTTGGAGGGGGGGGGGGGGGGGTTGGTGTTATGTTCGTGTTCTTTTGTTAAAGACTCCCAGTAGAAGCCAAGAGTACTGCAATATACAACCAACCCACTCGCAAATTATCCCCGTCAAGGTGCCGCAGAGCTATTGCGAACGCCCCCGATCGCTCAGGCTGTGGGCGACATTAAGTGGAAGCCTGTGGTTACAGGGGGCTGCAGTGGCGAGCGGTCCAGCAGCACGCAGCACACGGGCCGTCACCGTTACCGCGGTACCTTGATTCGGGGCATGTTAGGATCTGGCAGAGAAGTAGTTAAATATCGTATGAGGCCTGGATGTGCACGAAGTGATGGTTGCAGACGGGAGCCAGCTGTTTCCATTATGGCTGCATAAGGCCCCAGTGCAAATATGTGACCAAGAAGTCACCCCCATCCCCCCAGTCCTGGGATTCCAAGTGCCAATTAATGCTATACAGGTGAGGGGAATAATAGCTTGGATAATCTGTAAACTACTCTTTTTCTTCGTTGGATGACACCTCTGCCGCATTTTCTAGTAGGGCTTCTCCGCAGAGTCAAAAACCAACTGAGCTTCAAATCACTTGATAAAGTATAATGTGGGTGCAGGGACCCCCCCCCCCCAAATTGCTCAGGAGCTCAGCTAGTTTCTGTCCAGTGTCAGGTACCATATGAACTCCTGCACTGGCATGCCGGCCTGGCTTGGCGTGCCCAGTGTCACCTTCCCTTCTGGAGTTCCCAGATGACATCTCTCTCTGCTCACTTCCTGCAACCCCCCCAATGCCAACCTCAAGAGAGATTATAGTGCTGAATCGCAAAGCCACTCTTGCTCATTTCTCTAGCTCGTTACTCGGGTATTTGCCATCTGTGACCTTCATGCCGAAAGATGGGGACACAGATAGACTTCCTCAAAGGCAAGAGGCGAGTTGTGGTATTTTACTGTAAAGATCAGTGCATCCTCTCGCTGATATCTCCTTTTCACTTTGACCATCTAGGCAGCAATGCTCGACTACCGCACTGAAATCCAGAGAATACAACCTCCTGCTGGCGTTTGCTGAAGTTAACATGTCCTAAGACGACCCAGCCCCCGTGATGGATGGAATTCGCTTTGATGTAACGGGAACGAGGCAGGGCTTGCCGGTCCCGTCCCCGGTGGTCCACTGTGTATCTGGCTTTGGTTCC